GCGTGTCTCGTCGATGCAAAATCCAACGCTTCAGACACGGTATATGTACAAAACCCTTAAACGCAAAACAAAAAAAGCAAATAAATATGCGATCGCACCAATCACCTCGCCTAACGTCGGATACAAAGCACACTTACCACACTGCCGCGACACTGGCAAGGGCAACGTGACAGCTGTACGTCACTTCGATTGCAACGACAAATGCGACAAGAGTTCCCAAATTCATTTGATGACTGTATCGTCGTTACCGATTTGCAATCGTCTACGGCGTTGACTGGCGTCAGTGGCGCAGCATTGAGTGTCGTTGGTGTACCAGCCAGCTGTCCAGTTGCCACAACGCTGTTGAATAACCGTATGGCCGTCGCCTCCGATAGTCCCTGCATACCGTTGGTCCGTAGTCGAATGGGCGCGCGTGCTGATGTTGATGGTTGGGACAGCAAGGCGTCAAATAGCGTGGCTCGTGCTCTTGGCAGCAATGATGACGGTGGAGGTGGAGGAGGCGGCGGCGGCGGCGGCGGCGCTGGTAGTGCTGCCGAAGGTGGAGGAGTAGGTGAAACCAAAACCGGGACCGGTGGTACTAGTTGAGCAGCGGCGCCGGATGGAGAAGACGACGTAATTGGAGGCGCTGGCTGCTGCAGCTTGAGGCCTTTGAAAACTTCCTCTATTGATCAACTAATAATTTTTTTTTTTTGATTTTCTTGCGATTTTCATACTAAAAATTTTAACATTTTTCCATTTACATATTTTGAAAATCCAAAGCAGCGACGCCTCGAGTTTGACAACAACTGCAAATAAATATAACGACACTGGAACGGAAGTAATTGTAGCAGGCGTTTGCCACAAAATGGAGTAAGTGTTTCTTATCAAAAAATTTATCAAAAAGTAATTTGTAGTTGTAAAAAATATATCTAAAATATTTCCAAAAAAATTTTACCATATATTCAAGACTCATATCGCAAAAGAGAGCGGAAAGTCTACTAAGACTTCTAGATTCTATACAGAACAGTACTGTTTATTTGTATGTATGTATGTAGATGGCATATCCGAAATACAGGAGCGCTGAGATTCAACTTGGTTAACCAGTTTCCAGCAATAAACTACAGCGGGGAAAGCTATTCATATAACCAGAAAACTTGATAAGCAAGAAGGTGGGAGCGCCTAAATTATATTATTATAACCACTGGGATCCCAAGAACTACAATATTTATTAAATATGCTTTTTGATATTATATATAGATTTTGCAAAATATTTTATTAGGAAATAAAGGCTATTTTTATGATATTTTTTGCTTTTAAAATAAAAATTATTTTTTAGTCCTACTCTTTGCGTACAAAATCAAAATTATTTTTATTTAGCTCAACAAAAAATAGTTTCCAAAACACTACCATAAGATACACAAATTTAATAGTTGAGTTTTTATATATCTTCAGGCTACATACATGGTGTTGCATTAGGCACATACATACAAAAAATTTCGCTCCAAACGAAGGAAAACCATAAGATTACATACGGATTTAAGTTTGAATTTATAAGGTGCTTAATGTAGTTTTTATGGCGATAGAAGAACAATTTAGTTGATGTCGATAATGTCGATAAATTGTTCTTCTATCGCCATAAAAACTACAACTCCCACATAATTTTATGAAAAAAATAAATAAAAAATTACATACTTACTTCGATACGTTCCATTTTAAGCATTAAAAAGAAACACGATTGGTTTACCGTAGCTTGAAAATGTTAATCTCTATATTTTCGTAGCAACAATTAGTACAAATTTAAACAAATATTTAAAAAACAATAAAAATATGTGTGTGTGTGTATAAAATTTTTTTAGATGAAATTCTCATAACTAAAATATGTAAGTCAACATTTCGTAAATTTTACAATACATATGTATATAGTATACAACGGGTATGAGAATAAAAAAAAAATATGTTAACACTGATTATGTGTGCAAGGCATAACTAAATTGTAATTGATAATTATTTTGTAATTAATGTGTGTAATTGTTATTCATATACATATATTTTTACATTTCAATTAAAAGAAAATCTTTATTGATATATTTATTTATGTGTAAATATGTATATTATTTATTGTAATAAACGTGTTGTTAGTATCTAGGCGTGATTTCATATGTTTCTTATCGAGAAAAGCGAAAACAAGCGCATGTGAAATATTGCATTTTCTCCATACGAGTACGGTTATACATAAAATATGTATTATATATATATATATATATATATAGATCATCAATTATTTGCTTGCTTCTTTCTTTTTTTACAAGTTGATAATTCTACTTAGTTCAATTTTTAACAAGTAGTTTTGTATGTAATTTTACATTAATGCACCACCAACAACAAGAACAATTATTCAATAGTCCAAAATAATTTTGTGCTACAGCGTGTAAATTCACAAGAAATTTCAAAAAATGTTCGCATTAATTATTTTTGAACGTACAAAAATATAGTCGACTTAATCTACGTCGTACGATCCAGATCGAGTTGCAAAAGTTTATACTCGTATGTACAATGTACCTACATATGTATGTACATGTGTATGAGAGATACGTTCTGTTTTTTTATTGCTCAAGATTTAGGAAACCAATACACAAAATGTGTTGTTTTTTTTTATATGCAATAATAAATAAATTTAATTACAAATACGTACTAAGTTTTCGTAGTTTTGTTAAAATTTCTTCATACGTTTATGAATTATGTTTTAATATTTTCAAGAGTTAGCAGAGTAGTACATAGAACAAGAAATCGTTCATCCCAGTGCCCAATACCATTGTATTCATAATTAACAACAAAAAATTTTGGCAAATATGTAGAACCGTTTTTTTTAAGATCGGTTTCATGGCAATGAAGGATTAGTATACACCAATAGTTATTTTTCAATAAATATTTTTAATTTTTTTTTTTTGCTGATGACCGCAGGCTATGATGTCAGAAGATTATTTAATTTGTGGTTTTTCCCCGATTTTATTGGCAATTACGGAAACGACGGTAGATGCTCTGTACGTATATGAAAACGCATTTCCAATCGGGTCGTTTCATCTCTACCATATCCTCGACATCGAGTAGTGGCGCTATGCCAGCTTTCTCACTGAAATAGAAGAAAAGTTAAAATTTAGAAACGGCACAATCCAAAAGCTACTTTAATTATTTGTTTGTTTAGGTACTTACTCGGCCACAGTGAAAGCTAATTCAAAATTATGTCTTCGGCTTTTTGGTGTTAATTTACTATAATCGAAGGCATCTGGCAAGAAATGATGTATTAGAGCACAAAATGCTAAACCATCTGACCAGCTGGCACTAAAGTTAGTTATTTGGACGTTCTGAAAAAACAAATTTTGTTTATTTTAATACGCTTACTCTTTGGAAATTCGAAGCTAAAATAACAGAAAAAGACAACATTGCTTCAAAAAAAAAACAAAGCATATGAAACAGCGAACAGAAAAATAGTAAAAATAAATGTATAAAAATATTTAGGGGATTCACAGGATGTGGTAACCGTTGTAAAATCTTAAGCTTAAAATTTTTTTTTTGTATGTAAAACAACGGCTAAAAGTAGGTTTTTTTTTTATCCGTTTAAAGACATTTCGGTGTAATTTGAAATCCTCTAAAACCATTTCAATCATTATTTTACATACAAAAATTTTAAGCTTAAGATTTTACGTCACTTTTGTCACTCTTGTGAATCCCCTAATCATGTAAATAAAATTATAATGTAGTTATAAGATTAATGCCCGGCATTAAAAAAAAAACTCATTTTCTCATAGGAAAGCAAAGGAACGTAATGAATACCGGCGGCGACATGCGTGCGAGCAAAATGATGATATCTAAAATTATTAAGCGTATTGGCTTACAATAGGGGAGTTCACGATGTGTAGCATTTTGGGTGTTAAATTACCACACTTAAAGTGCTACAAACCATGAATTCACCGTATACACATACATATGTATGTATCTCTATGGACAAACAAAGCAAACAATATTTGAAAAATAAAATTAGAAAATGCGCTGGTTAGGGCACAAAATTAATAATATCAAGTTGTTCAACTCGAGTTTGAATATATACTATTACGAGTGTTTCATAAATATAAATTTTTTTTTTCTCGCCACCCTGTAGAGCAACAGCTAAATCGAATGTTTTCGTATAACCTTTTTGGATAACACGCTACAGATTACAGATCTGTACACCGGTTTTGGATCACTTCATTTTCCCAAGATATTACCATTTTAAGTTGAAATTGTGAATGAAAAAATCAAACTTTAAAAGTTAAAAAATTTTAAACCAAAAAATTTTGCATAAATGTTTTCCCCTACAGTGGAATCGATTTTTGCTAATGGTAATAGCAGGAAAAATTCTGAAAAATTTTCTCTACTAAATATAGCTATGTATGCGCACTATCATATAGAGTTCAAAAGTTATGAACGTTTTTTTAAAGACGCCCTGCACTAAATAGTTAATAGCATTAAAATATGTAATTTAAAAGCCATTGTTTTCTGTAAAGAAAAACTTAGCTACATGATATGCAAAACGCTTTTTTAAAGGCATTAGAGTTCGGAAACCATTTAGAATGATGAACCGAATGAGAAAACCCAGATTTAGCTATTTTATAGGGTGCTGAAATGAAAATTATTTATATTTATGAAATTCTCTCATAGGAAGTGTTCCAAATCGATGGGAACATTTAGTCCCCAGTCCTGCTCCATACAACGTAAAACTTTCCAAAGATTGACTGTGCCATCTACAAACGCTGAGTCGTGAAACCCCCCAAAGTGCTACATTTTTTTTTTACATTTTGAACTAATGATTAGTTTTTTGATTTTGGCCGTTTTTATTATAATTTATTCGTTAATTTTGAGCTCCAGGCCGGTTGTTAAATAAAACATATATTTTGGCGGTTTTATTTATTACATTTATTGCTGT